AGGTTGTATGCAGATATGGGCTTCCAGAGGTGATAGAGAGTGACCAGGGCTCCGCCTTCACAGTTTCTGTAACCAAAGGAATATGGGCGGCATTAGGAGTCACTCTGGCGTTCTATATACCCCCCAAAGTAGTGGAAAAGTAGAAGGAATGAATGGCACTCTGAAAGCCAGAATGCTAAAAATGGCCCAAGAGACTGGCATGAGTTGGCCAGACAGTCTGCTTATTGCCCTATTTAGTGTCAGATACACACCAAGGGGGAGAACACTCCCTATCCCCTTATGAGATTTTGTTTAGCTCAGCCCCCAGATTTGGTTGTTATTTTCCACAACAGTTGCAATTACAATTTGATGTGTTAACTGATTATGTGACTGTATTATCACGTGAATTAACCCGTATCCATGTCCAAGTGTTTTCTCCATTCCAGATCCTGAGTCAGATACAGGAACTCACAGCCTATTACCGGAGATTGGGTATTAGGAAAGACATTTATGAGGAAACATTCCTTTGAGCCAAGATATGATGGTCCCTTCCAAGTTCTGCTGACCACAGCCCCTTCTGACAAGGTGGCCGGGAAGAACACTTGGATACACGCCTCCCACTGCAAGAAAGTCCCAACCCCTGAGGAAAAGGCGTCATCTACACCATGACAACTATGTTGTATATCCTTTTTCTTATAAGTCTGACAGAGGCTCAACAGGTGGATATCACTGAAATAGGTGACACCACTATATTTTGGTACAACTCATCCAACACTCATGTAGCTATTTTCACCTTTGATTTCTGTAGTATAGATCCCATGTGGTGCTATGACCATAATCTATATGATCTTGACACAACGAGCATGTTCCGATAGTAGTGACCAGGTATACATATGTGTCATGGATGATTACTGGGGACCAAAAGATTAGAATCAGATTGGAAGGGATTTGGACTGGTGAGTGTGCCCTTGCAAAGGTCATTATGCCTCTCCACATCCTAGCAGAAAATACCCCTCCCAACGCCTGACCCAACGCCTGGCCGTAGGAGGAAACGAAAAGCTCCTTCTGGCAGTTTTGACCCACATGTGTATATAGATGCTATTGGAGTCCCAAGGGGGGTGCCTAATAAATTTAAAGCAAGAGACCAAGTAAAAGCAGGCTTTGAATCCCTGATTCCCATGATAACTGTTAATAAAAATGTAGATTAGATAAATTATATATACTACAACCAACAGAGGTTTGTGAATTACACCAGAGATGCCCTTCAAGGAATCGTTGACCAGCTAGCCCTTACATCCTACATGACATTCCAGAATAGGATGGCTCTGGACATGATTTTAGCAGAAAAAGGAGGTGTCTGTAAATGATAGAAGGAACCGGAACATGTTGTACATATATTCCTGACAATACTGGCCCGAATGGTAAGGTTACTCTGTCTATAAAGAAATTAGAAGATCTGTCAGTTGAGTTGAAAAAGAATTCAGGGATCACAGACTTGTGGGATCAATATTTCAGTTGGATGAGTGGGTGGCAAAAGATACTTGCCCAAATAGGGGTAACTGTATTAATAATTCTGATTCTCCTGGCCCTGGTTGTATGCTGTGTTATACCATGTGTGAGGAAATTGATGAGCAAAGCTGTAGACAACAGAACACCTACCTTCCTGAACCAGGAGCAAGAGGATCTCCATATGATAGATGAAGAAAAACCTTATACCACATTACGGTCCCTCTCCGCCAATAGTAATTTCACAATTTTGTAGGGATAGCATCTGACTTCCTTATGTACAAAGTCTGTGGCAAGGGGGGTGATGAAATAGTCATCACCTGTCTAACGTACAGCATAAAAGAGTTCCAAGGTACATAAGGACAGATAAGCTAGGCTTTATAGGGACAGAGTAAAATATTCATTTTAAGGGGGGACTGTGATGGATTTGGTAAAATGCCTATTTCGTTTCCTATTGAATATATATATATATATATATATATATATATATATATATATATATATATATACGCTATTTCTATAAGTTTTATAAATATTTACTTTTATACTTTAATACATATGTTGTGTGAATATTTTCTGCCTGCTGGGCTTTGTGGTACTATAAGAAATCCTTGCTTAAGAAATGTCTGCTCACACACACAGACCCCCTCCCACCGTGTGATTTTGGAAACAAAGGAATGTTTTTTCTCTCTTTAAGATAAGATGGAAAGAAGATCACACCTATACCATGACGGAGATTGTTTTCGTGTAAAGTGACCAATCAAAGACTAATATAATGCTTATGCTATTATCACGTGATGTTCGCATCATTTTTCATATATATAAACTCACGGTTTCATTTCAATAAATTAGAGAGAAGCATTCATAGACTGAACTTGTGTGTCAGCGTGAGTTTCTTCCAGTGTGCGCACATTCCACAGCTAGCGTCATAAATTAGGACAGGAACAGATAAGCACCGGACGATTCAGTCCTCCACTAAATCACTCTCGCCACATGAGGCCGGGCATTGCCATGCACCAGGAGGAACCCAGGACCCACTGCACCAGCGTAGGGTCTGACAATGGGTCCAAGGATTTCATCCCGATAATTAATGGTAGTCAGGATGCCATTGTCTAGCCTGCAGAGGTCTGTGCATCCCTCCATGGATATTCAATGGCAAATGCCAATCAAGCTCTATGGTGCCAGGCAGTGAGCACAGGGCCCACTAGAGGACGTCGGGCCCTCAGGCCACCCTCATGAAGTCCGTTTCTGATTGTTTTGGTCAGAGACATTCACACCAGTGGCCTCTGGAGGTCGTTTTCTAGGGCTCTGGCAGTGCTCATCCTGTTCCTCCTTGCACAAAGGAGCAGATACCGGTCCTCCTGATGGGTTAAGAACCTTCTACGGCCCTGTCCAGCTCTCCTAGAGTAACTGCCTGTCTCCTGGAATCTCCGCCATGCTCTTGAGACTGTGCTGGGTGACACAGCAAACCTTCTGGCAATGGCAGATATTGATCTGCCATCCTGGAGGAGCTGGACAGCCTATGCTACCAGTAGTGACACTGACCCTAGCCAAATGCAAAATTAGTGAAAAACAGTCACAAAAGATGAGTAGGGAAAAATGTCAGTGACTTCCACCTGTAAAACCGTTCCTGTTTTGGGGGTCGTCTCATTGTCGCCCATCTAGTGCACCTCTTTCATTAACCCCAAAGCGGCTGAAACAGATTATAAACTGTACAACTCAGTTGAACAACAAAATGAAATCTTTTAGGTGGAGAGAAGTAAAAATAAAAAAGTAAAATAATATGTTTGCATAAGTGTGCACACCCTTAAACTAATACTTTGCTGAAGCATCATTTGATTTCATTACAGCACTTAGTCTTTTTGGGTAGGAGTCTATCAGCATGGCACATCTTGACTTGGCAATATTTGCCCACTCTTCCTTGCAAAAACTGCTGCGGGCAAGTAGACGATCAGCCTCAGTGAGCCATGCACCTTGGTACAGGGGGGATACAAGCAGCTCTAGTCTGGCTTATAGTTAGCACTGAACGTGGACGAGCATTTGCTGCTGATGAGTTTAACAGAGTGTGATGATGGTCGCTGCATTTCCCCTTCCTCTCCTCTGCCTCCACTTGCACCTGCAGGTATCAATTTACAGCCTGTGATTCCCTGTAAAGCAGTGAGTGAATTGCCCACCTCTGCCTTTTACAGACTCTCCCGGCTGATTGGGGAGCCTGGGACTGCACCAAATGGCAGCAGAGAGAGACATAGGGAGAGAGACACAGATGTTGTTCCTCCCTCTCTGTGACACCAGAAACAATGAGGATTTAGTTTACTTTCATTTCTTTAGTAGGTTATTAAATGGCCAAGGAGGGAGCCTAGGAGACCGATCTGTCACGGCCCATGTGACCACAAGGGCTGTTGTTCATTCTTTTAGTAATAAAGTTGATAAAAAAAATGTTTTAAATAAAATAAATACTAATAAAAAAAAAAAGTTTAAGTGTCCCTGCACCCCAACCCCCCCTTCCCCGGGGCTGTTGGCTATAGAGATTTTTAGGTACTGTAGTTTGGCACCATTTTACGGACGTTCACAATTTTAAACCGTGACATGTTAAGTATCTATTTACACGCTGTAACATCATCATTTATAGTTACAAAAAATGTTTTATTATATAGTGGTTACGTGCAATAAAATTAATCAAAGTGTTATATTTCCCCAAAAAGTTGCATTTGAAAAACTGCTGATCAAATGTGACATTAAAAAAATTCAACACCCATCATTTTATTCTCTAGGGCCTCTGCAACTTACAACCCCCTTAGGAGCTTCATGGAGTTTACTATAGGTTTCTTCATAAACTGTTCAGTGTACCTTGAACTGCTGTTTTGAAGGTAAAGGGTGGTCACACCAAATATTGATTTGGATTTTTCTTCTGATCATCTACTTTTTTTTTTTACTAATTTTGTTAACTGATAAAAATGAACTTTTACCACTTCTGTTTCTGAAAGCATTCTTAAAGTGACACCAAAAGGTAAACTTTTTTTTTTATTAAAATAAGAAACATGTTCTACCCACCTGCTCTGTGCAATGGTTTTGCACAGAGCAGCCCCAACCCTCCCCTTGCCGGCGATCTTAGCTTCTCCTCTTCGTTTGCCCCCACAGCAAGCCGTTTGCCATGGGGGCACACAGTGTGTGCTCGCTCCCAAGCTGTGTGTGTCTATGGAGCAGTGCTCCTTAGACACATATAGTGGGACTTAGCCCCACTTCCTCCTCCTCACTGCATTTGATTGACAGCAGCAGGAGCCAATGCATTCTCTGTATTAAGGTAAAAAATGTTTTATTGCTTTCTGTCCTCCCCCTTCCCTGTGTGAAGAGGAAAAGAGGGGAGATGAGATGCAACCATGCACAGTGCTTGATCTCTTCACCCCTCTCTTCCCCCTCACACAGGGAAGGGGGAGGACAGAAAGCAATAAAACATTTTTTACCGTAAAGCGGAGCTCCACCCAAAAGGGGAAGTTCCGCTTTAAGGACTGCTCCCCCCGCTCCCCATTAAGGATTGGCACCTTTGGGGGGCGGGGGGGTGGGAGCGGGTACCCGAATTTGACAGGTACCTGCTCCCAAATTTGACAGGTACCTGCTCCCACTTCCATTCCAATCGCCTAGGTGATCTGAAATGGAAGGTGTCCTCCATCCCTGTAGTCTTTTGGGATATGTGAGAGGTCCCAGAAGACTACAGGACCATTCAGGAAGCGCAGCACTACTCGTGCATGCGCAGTGGGTACCCGGCTGTGAAGCCGCAAGCTATCACAGCCAGGTGCCCACACTGAAGATGCCGTCTTCCTGGAATACAGGACAGCTGGTGAAATGGGCTGCGGGGGACACACCGCGGGACCAAGGGACAGGTGAGTGGCTGTTTTTGTAGCTGCTAACTTTTTTTTTTTTACAGGGTGGATGGAACTCCACTTTCATGCAGAGAATGCATTAGGGTAAAAATAATTATGGCTTCAGAAACACTTTAATTTACAGTATTTTTTCACACCTGCCTAAAACTTTGCACAGTATTGTACTTTATTGATGTATTCATGAATACAGAGCTGAAATTGTCTTTTATAGCTGCCTGTAGTTCAGCTTCAAATAACACATACTATTTAAAAAAAAGTGTGCAAAACAATACATTCGGAGGAGACTCAAAGTAAGCCAGCGTGACTATTTAATGCAATTCACTGAATATTCAGGCCCAGTCTGCTGTATTTTCTGGCTGTTACCTTTTCTACGGCCTCAGCTTTTTCACGCTCCAGTGTTTTCTCCTTCTGTCTCTCTGCTCTTAATGCAGCAGCTGATGTCGCTCTCACAGACGTAAAGTCGAAGGTCATCCACTCATCCCTCTGAAATGTAAGAACAGCTTCATTTAGTATTGCAGAACACACAGACCATCTCTGGTCTTATAGGGGAAAAGCTTTACCTACACCACACAGCAGAGTCAGCAACATGTCAGCATCATTTCAAAATGTGCACACACAAGAGACAAGCAGTTGTCAGTGGGTGGGATTTTGTTTGCTTACAAGAGAACCTGTCACTTCGCCCTGAATGGGGTGGGATATTTTCAATCAAATATTTTTATTTTTGGTTTGGGTTTAGTTGAGAAGGACTTCGGTGAAGTGCTAGATAGATTTTACTCCCCTCCTGGTCAGACTGTGATATTCAGGATCTACAGATGACATGCCTCTGAAATGCAGTCTCTATATATTCCTACGGAAAGCCTACTAAGGCTCCATGCACATTAACGTTTTTTAGAAGTTCAAAAAACGCTAGAAAAAAAAAAACCGCTGGATGAAAACAGTGATAATAGAGTTTTTGTGCCAGCTTCTAGTAACATTTTAGTAGCGTTTGCATTTTCTTAGCATTTTTACAGTACATGAAGAAAAAAAAAAAAAACACTTGAAAAAAGCTGTTAAGGGCATTTAAGTAGTGCTTGGAAGTTTAGGAGCGTTTAGTGTATTTTTCTGCCAGGAAAAATCTCTAAAAAAGTCTACAGAAACTATTTCTTTTCTGCTCCTCAACACTGAAGCTTGAAAATGCTTCTAGCATAAAATAGTGTGCATGGACACATAGGATGACACTATTAGCTTTTATGAGCAATGAGAAAAAAAAAAAAAAAAAAAAGCTCATAATAGTTTATAGGAGCTTAAAAAAACGCTAGTGTGCATAGAGCCTAAAGTATTGGCCTAAATATAAACATGTTTTTTTATAACATGCATGAAGTATCTTCACTTCACTGGCTCCTCCAGGGATTATACCATATATAGCTACTCCAGCTGCAACACTCCCACCAGTTGCTGAATAAAATCTGCTCAACAGTAATGGATAGCAATTAATCTATATTTGGTCTCCCACAGTACACAGAACATGGAAATGCAATTATTTTAGTAAATATAAACTGCTAAATACCCTTTCTCACCAGCAGTTTATAGCAGTCTTTTGACTTCTATCAGTGTACAGCTGAGCACTGGTTAAAGCTTGTTGAAGGAGTGTTCATTCTCCTCTGATTGTCCTATGAGGCTGCATGACCCCTGCAAATCTGTCTAGACAGTGCTGATTGGCTCTGTGCCACCCTCGAAAAAAAAAAAAAAAAAAAAAAGCTCTCTATCACTATACACCAAACTGAGCATGTGCAGAGTACCTCCTAGGGCTCTGAACTATCAGCAGATGGAATGGGACAGTAAAATAAGGGGAGCATCAGAGAAGACAGGATCAAACAGCCTTTTTAAACAACTCAGAGCATTAACCCCTTAGGTTCCACAGTTTTGTCACGTTACAACCACAAACGTAAATGTGTTTTAATGGGATTTTATGTGATAGACCAAACACAAAAGTGACACATAATTGTGAAGTGGAAGGAAAATGATAAATGGTTTTTAATATTTTTTACAAATAAATAATCAGAAAAGTGTGGCAAGCATTTGTATTCAGCCCCCTTTACTCTGATACCCCTAACTAAAATCTGGTGAAACCAATTGCCTTCAGAAGTCACCTAATTAGTAAATGGGGTCCACCAAATTGAACTTTTTGGCCTAAAAGCAAAACGTTTCAGATATTTCTTTGTAAAAATTTTTGGACACCATTTATCATTTTCCTTCCACTTCACAATGATGTGCCACTTTGTGTTGCTCTATCACATAATTCTCAACACATGTACGTTTCTGGCTATAACATGACAAAATTTGTACAAATTCAAGGGGTATGAATACTTTTTCAAGGCATTGTACAGACTGATTTTACTGTGGTGGGTTTAGTAACACTATAAGGTCCTGATAGGGCTCAATCCTGCGCCATTCCATCAAAAACTAAAACCTTCCATTAGCAAATAGATTTTGCATACAAAGGAAAAAAAGATGGTTAAAGCAGAGCTCAATGCATGCATTTGTGGGTAGCTTCACAGGAGCTTACTTTAAAATCATTGGGTTTTTTCTTTGCATTTTAGGAGTAGGAGATGGTTGAAACCCCTTCAGCTTTTCTTTTTTTGCCATCTGTCCCATGAGGAAGGTGTCCCTGCACTTCCTGTAGACACAACAGGAAAATAATGGAAATTCCCTCTGAGGCAGGCCATAGATTATGCTATTTTCTTTCCTGCAACCACGAGTTGCAGGAAAGAAAATCGCTTGATTCCCCCATCAACACAGTCAGGGTTGATGGGGGAATCCCTCCCGTGGAGCTATTGTGATCTTCGGCTATAGGCGCTGACAATAATTGCATGCTAAAAATTTGACATGCTGGTTGTACCAAAGTCAATCGATGGATTGACTTGGGAACAATCAGCCTGCCTATAGGTGGATCGAACCGGCTGAGATTCGATCCATCTATGGTCAAAATTTAGACAAATTTCCACACTGGAAAACAGCCAACCTCAACCACACTATCTAAAACTAAAATTATTTGGAGTCACTAACACAGAACTAGTTTTCAGATAAGACAATCCAGCTTTACTACAACAACCCGTATCTTCATGCTTGTTTCAGGTCAGTGACTCAAAAAGTACTATAACTGGGGGGGAGGAGGCAACATACCAGCCAAGCAACAAGAATTTTCAGCTAATGGTTAGCAATGGTGGCCCCATATTTCTCCAATCACAGGTTTAATTCTTCTGAGGTTTATAATGACATTTGTTGATCAGGATTAATTTTGAAGCAGTTACTCAACACAGTGAACATCTGTGCACTCGAGTTCCACGGGACGCTGTGGCACTGTGCTCAGATGTCCAAATGAATATCAACTCCTACGAGGAGACAGCTTGGCCAGGGACACCGACATCCTCATTACAATTTGAGGCAAGCAATACAGAGTCACGTATCATCAAATATTACCATAGAAGGATTTCAGAGAAAACACAGGACATCTACAATATATTAGATTTCCTTCTATAAAACAATGCAGCAACAAGGCAACCAATTTACATTCGTCCTTTAATGATCACTTGGCAGTGAATTAAAGGTTTACTGAATGCTAATCCGCTGTAGCGCTTTGTGTGCTGCCTTATTTAGCATGCCTGTTCTGTATTTCACATTAAAAAAAAATTACCAAATATAAATCTGAACACGGAGGACGTGTTCCCACCACTGCTTTGGGGTAATGTACAGTCAATGTACTAAGCAAGTTGCAAAGTATTATTTTTTAGTTTGAATGGCACCCCTATACAACACCAGTGCACTGTTGTGAAAAAAATAGCACATGAGCAATTACTCCTGAGTTGGGGCACATTCAAAGTTAAATAGCCAAGTTAAACAGGTAACACAAAATGCTGCAGCACATGATAAAGCACGCTGCTGCATACAGTGCTGTGTAGAAGTATGCGTCTCCTTCCTGATTTTTTATTTTTTGCATATTTGTCAAATATACTATAAATGATTCAGATCATCAAACCAATTTTAATATTACACAAAGATAAACCAAGTAAATACAAAATGCAGTTTTTAAATGATGATTTCATTTATTAAGTACAAAAAAGCAGCCCAAACCTACCTGGCCCTATGTGAAAAAAGTAACTGCCCCCTAAATGCCCAGCTGCATAACCAAAGTGCACTTGAGCTTGACGTCACAAACTCATGGCTGGACATTCTCCTCCAGGATTTTCTGGTAGAGCACATAATTCAGGGTTCCATCAATAGTGGCAAGTTGCCCAAAGTTGTGCAAAGCAGCCCCACACCATCACACTGGCACCACCATGTTTGACTGTTGGGATGATGTTCTTTTTATGAAATATTGTGTTAGTTTTACACCAGATGTAACGGGACGCACACCTTCCAATAAGTTCAACTTTTGTCTCATCAGTCCACAGAATATTTGCCCAAAAGTCTTGGAGATAATCAAGATGTTTTTTGGTAAATGTGAGACAAGCCTTTGTGTTCTTTTTGGTCAGCAGTGGATTTAGCACTGGAACTCTTCATGGATGCCATTTTTGCCCAGCCCGGTATTTTGAATCATGAACACTGACCTTAACTAAGGCAAGAGAGGCCTGCAGTTCTTTAGGTGTTGTTCTGGGTTTCTTTTATGACCTCTTGGATGAGTCGTCGTCGTCGTGCTTTTGGGGTAATTTTGGTAGACCTGCCACTTCTGGGAAGGTTCACCACTATTCCAAGTTTTCTCCATTTGTGGATAATGGTTCTCACCGTGGTTCACTGGAGTCCCAAAGCATTAGAAATGGCTTTGTAACCCTTTCCAGACTGATATATGTCAATTACTTTTTTCTCATCTGTTCTTGAATTTCTTTAGATCGTGGCATGATGTGTTGCTTTTTTTTTTTTTAGATCTTTTAGTGTGCTTCACTTTGTCAGACAGCTTCTATTTAAGTGATTTCTTGATTCAACAGGTCTGGCAGTAATCAGGTCTGGGTATGACATCAATGCA